CCACGGTAATGAATATCGAGTGTGTACAGAAAGAATTTTTAGCACGCATAGAGAACGAACTTAATACGAAACGAACTTAAAAAAAAGGAAAGAATATAAAAATATTATTTTACGCGAAAATAGAATTATTATGAGATAAAATGTACTAGACATATTTACATGTGGCATTTCAATGTGGCATTTGTGTGAAAACGACAAAATTGCTTCTCTCGATTAATTTATATTTAAATATTTCCTCGCAAAATCTGAACTTACAACGGCGAGTGAATTATACAAAAAAAACATTTTTTATTAATAATTTGTTAAATGGACGGTTGACTGTTTAGATCCTTGCAATATCGCTCGCGATTATTCTACTTTTATTAAAAGCACTTTGCATACTTCTTCAAACGCAAGAAACATCGTATCATTACAAGCTACGTATCACATTACTATCGTACATTTGCTATCGTTCTTAAGTAGATTACATTTAGACTTTCTAGCAACAGGATTGCATCTCGTAATCTCGCGAGTTCGTTGCACGCGGGCGTGCATTCCGCGCTTGTCGCGTTTCAATTTAAGTACCTCCGACTCGATTGAGCTCTTTGAGGCATTGCGTGTCGCAGCGTGTACCATGCCCATTCCGCGAACTCCGGCGCACGATCGCATTTGCACGGAAAGCCACGACGAACGGAACGCTGCTCGTTTGTTTCAGATTTCTGCCAGGAAGCACGCCGTCTCACCCTTCTACCCGACCTCTACCCTTTCCTATTCTCTGTACCTCCCTCCCTCCTCTTGGTCGCGCAGTCAGACGGCGGCCGCAGAAGAGCAGTGAAACACGCGGCCGTTTGTATGCACGCGGAAACCGTAAGCGACTTCGTTTCTCGCTTTTTGCGAGCGGCTCGCGAGCGCTCGCGTAGCCAATAATTGAACATTGAAGCCGGAATGGCGTAGGTGAAGACAGAGGGAGGGAGAGAGAGAGAGAGAGAGAGAGAGAGAGAGAGAGAGAGAGAGAGAGAGAGAGAGAGAGAGAGAGAGAGAGAGAGAGAGAGAGAGAGAGAGAAGAGAGAGAGAGAGAGAGAGAGAGAGAGAGAGAGAGAGAGAGAG